CAAAGGAGGAAATAAGTAGGTTACAGGGGTATGAAAGGACGTCAAGGAGTCAAAAGGTCAAGGCGGAGAGGAGTCATGGTCATTTACATAATGACGATAAAGGAACCCTTGTAGATAAACTACGTCACTCGAGATGATGGTATATAACCCTGGGAAGATAGGCCGATGAAAACCCTTTAGAAGGAACAAGACAAGCAACGAGATAAATGATGTAGAGGACAAGTTATGGTCTCGGTACGACCACCATTGGACGAGACGTGGAGGAAAGTGCCACCAAAGTCTAAAGCATGCTGGTAGAAGACAGTGGGGAGTCAATACATAAGAAAAGACGTGGAATGTGAGAGGGAATAACAGTTAGCTAGTAAATGGTAGTACGAATAGAGAGAACCGCTTCTCTGCAGTGCGTGAGTTGGATACCAAGATAACCCCGAGTTAGAAAGAGGTTATTAGAGACCCTACAAACTACCCAGATCACAAAAGGGTCAAGAGGATGTTGGGACCGTTGAAAGGGGAATGCAAGAGTTCACGATGATCTGTTATGGGATTGTCCTATCCTAAATGGAGGGAGCACCTAGCCGACTAGGGTACATGAGGGGTGACATAAGGAGGAACCTCTCTAATAAGTTGGTACTAGAAGGCTAAGAGCTGAAGTCTCGAAACTAGCTATAGGAGTAAGTCATTAAGCCAACCGAGTATAGACAAGTAACTGGAACGTTCAATAAATGTTCTAATGAATGATAGAGAATTCGAGGAAGCACATGGAAGTTCCGATAAAGGATTGAGAATTTCTGTAGGTGACTCGAGTTCACGAAACTGCATAGTGGAGCAAGACGAGGAAAAGCATTACCGGGAAGGAGGAAATCATTAAGTTACATTATCCAAGGTGCCCCACTCTGGGTGAGAGCGGCATAGTAGGATGTCATCTAGAGGAAGCGGTTAGTTAAGGATAAGTAAGAACACGTTCAGTTAAGCCACTAAGAACCCAGACTAAGGGATTAAGGCCATATACAAGCATCAATCGGGACAATGACGTGAATGAGGTATGTTAAATCCTACCAAGGGAAATCCTCTATTGGAAGCTTGGACCCAAAAAAAAAAATGAGAAGATACTCAACGGTGGTTGGTAACCAAATATAGTACAAAGCAACAACAGAAGGACAGTAAAAGTAAAGAAGCAAGAGGACACCATAGGACGTTATAGAAAGAAAATGGTGGTCATCGACCGGGCGATGTATGCGTCAAGGAAGATAGCTAAGACATGCCAAAGCAGGAATGCAACAAACAACAAAGAAGCATTAGGTTGACTACCAGTAGATAACAATTGATCCCTGGGAAGTCCATCGCGAAATTTCGATCATTTTTAAGATGGAATCATGGTTTTCAAGAATGGTCGAAGCAAGAACCTTATCGGTCAAGCTACTTAAGTGAAAAGAGAATATGGGCACCCAGATGACTACATCGAGGACGAGGGACATCTAGAACTAGCAAGGAACATCAGGAAGAATGGTCATGAGTAAAGAAAGTAAGAAATGCAAAGTTAGGAGATACAAGGACCTAGGTGACCTATGAGGTCAACTCCGGACGAGAGTTACGTTAAAGGAGTTTTACCATCTGACTGGATAGAGGATAATCCGCCATATGTAACCTTGGGGTTCAAGAGAAGCATTAACGTCTCGTATACCGAATAATGTAGATAGTTATTTTTCCGATATACGTCCAAGGTGCATAGGTGATGTGAGGGGTTAAGAAACCACCAAAACATTGGAGGTTGCCAATGAATGGTGGGAAGGATTTATAGGTCATGTCTTACCTGTTCTTCAAGAATTTTCCTCCTTGAGTATTTTTCGAGTATTGATTTACGTTATGTATGTGCATTATTTGATTCATGTTTGAGATTGCATGATTACGGTTGATGATATGTGCCTTGTTTGAATTATGACTTGAAGTGAATGGTTGTTATTTGCTTTGAAATTTTCTTAAGTATAAGTTATTGTTAAAGTTTAAGAAACAAGTTCTTTTAAAGAAATAATTCACCTTCAAGAAGGTGAAATCGTTTTAAGAGTTTTTAGTCACTAGCACCAGTCCGTTGCCATTTGAGATGTTGAGATAGAGCAGCAGTTATGCTCTTGAGACTTTTAAGATGAGCAGCAGTTATGCTCTTGAGAATCGTGGAAAGAGAGTCTTCCACGATAAGTTTAAGGAAAGTCATGATGGCTTCTCATACGTATGAGTTGGCAACCGGACTAGCTAGTGAGGGATCCCCGTGTCAGTCAAAAATTTAAGTGGAGATTTGAGCTTTAAGGATACAGTTTTAAGAGTCAAGGTTTTTAATGGTGGAAGTACAAAACAACTTCCACTAAGTTAAGTAAAGTGATCAAGTACTAATAAGATGTTAAACGTAAGGGCGTAGACTGACCCCATCTCACTCACCAGTTTGAAGAGCTAGAGGAGTCGTTAGTGAGCAGCGAGTTCGAGGGCAGGTAGCTAGAGGAGAGCAGTATAAGCGTCACGGAGGATGCTTAGTTAAGGTTTTCAGTAGCAACAACATTAGAGATTATTAGTTATTTACATTTATGATTATGAGTATAGACTGGAGATCATGTTGAGATTTTAAGTATTGAGTTTGCCCTTGTGTTAGGGCGTTGCTTTAAACTCCAAGTGTGTGTTTTTCAGTATTTTATTTATGAAAATTCTTCTCGCTGAAATTTAAGATTGGAATATTTTATTTATCAAGGGCATTTTAGTAAAAGTAGTACCAGCCGGGTTAATTAGGGTGTTACATCGTTCACTATAACTTAGTTTTTAGGTATGCGTTCTGTTGTTTTCGTCCTTGATTTTTCTGGCATGCATTGTTCATCTTCAAAATGGGAGAGGAGTATGTGGACAGGATTTATGGGTTATGATGTTGATTTGGCTGCTTTTAAGGCATAGAGAAATGCCTTAGGTGTTAAATTAGGACTATCCAACACGAGGAAAGGGAAAGAAACTCTGGCAACATCAAGATTTGTTGGGAAGAAGAGAAGGACATGAAGAACTGGAGGGACCTGTTTGTTTTGTAGGCAATGGAGGTGTTGCTGTGTCCCATCGCCAATCAGAAGGCCAACCTTAGTTATCTTCGATTTTTGCAATATGATATACTTGATGATTTTATTAAGTACAATTTTTGTAAGCACGTGGCTGATAATTTCAATCATAGTATGGTAGAAGCTGTGCAATGACCTTCAAAGTACCCAAGTGATGTGCTTCAGATTGTTTGTGGTTTGGTTTCACTTTCCCCCCTACCGTGGGATGCTTTCCTATATTTGTGGTGAATGGTAAAAGGTTTTTGGTATGCTTCCGTGGTGGTTATTGACTTTTGTATGTTTGTATATGTTTCAGATTTCGATTCTTGACCAGGCGAACTGTTGCCGGAAGCTTCCGATACCTACATGCAAGCATAGATTGTATAGTGAAGCTACCAATATGTTTGAAGTACTGATCCAGAGACATATTTAATTTATCATGCAAATGCAGTAGAGAATGAAGCAAAAACGTCAACTCAAGTGATGCAGAATGGGAATGTCAATAGTAGAAAAGAGAAAAGAGTTATAGAGGAGCTTGAAGGAGATGTTCCAAAGTTACCTCATTTAGAGACCAAATTGGAAGGTGTTCAACAATAGAAGATGTGAGTGCTTTCAGTTTCTGTTTTTGGTGTGGTGATTTATGTTATTAGTGTGATTTCTCTGTTTTTGTTGGATGGTTTACTTAGTTGTTTTTTTACGTGTGCATTGAAAGGATTATGGTTTTTATTCATGCGTTCGAGGTTTATCCTGATTATCGTCAGATGTTTATTTAAAGGGTTGTGGTGGTTCCCTCCGAATTGCAGCCCCAAAACATACCCAGCCGCAACAGCTCCAGCCAGGATTACAGCGGAACTAGCCGACCTAAGCGGCTGAGTTACGAGGAATGGATACTCTGACACACCGACGAGAGGGGAGGGAGTGAGACGATGATGCGAAGGGTTGATGAAATGAGAGAACAACGCTAGCGTGGAGGCAGAAGAGGAAGAAGAAGGAGTGACGGATAACATATATAGCATGATTCATTATCGCCGCCGTTGCGATGTTTCTTCAATCCCTCCTGGCATTGGCAGATATGGAGATTTCCATATTTGTAAGAGGGGCTCCACTCTATGAGATTGTAGGGTTTAACGAAGTATACAGTAAGTGAGGAGCAGAGGATTAGGAAGGAAGGAGAAGAAGATAAATCACGAGTCGATGGTGTTGGCCGTCTAATTTGACGAAAATTCATAGCATGTTGATTCACTAACGGTTAATGATGTTGGCCGTCTAATTTGACGAAAATTCACGAGTCGAGCCAAATTAGTCTATATTGTGTATAATTGAGGTCAGGATAGCAATTTCTAAAATTATAGGCCAAATTTGATTACTTTTAGTTCGGATCAGAATAAAGTATTAAATATAGATAAAAATGTATAGTTGTATTAAAAAAAATTAGTTGCGTGGACCATATAAAATAGAAAGTGAATTTCATTCATGTAGTGAAAATGAAATCGATATGTAGTGAAAATGATTGATGTGAAGGTCAATGTCACATATGAACTAAAAATTGTATTTAAAAAATGTGGATATTGTCCGTTGATTGCACCCAAAACAAAAAGCTAAACGGTTTTTTTTATTTTTTCCCCTTCTTGTGATGATCTGTTTAGTACCCTTCCAATATCTTTTTTTTTTTTACAACCCTTCCAATATCTTCACGTTGCTGTAAATAATAATAGTAGATTTTCCTATTTTTCTTATGTTAGGCAAGGATAAACATCCCCCACCAAAAGTGGGGACAAAATGATAAGAAATGAGCGGAATGGGAAAAGTAAAAGAAAACAAGATAAGAAGCAAACTGAAAAACGGTAGCTGACGAGTGAGGATTACCTATTCAAACCCACCAAATATAACTTTCAATCCAATTGCGTATTTATCTTGAAACATAAAAAAAATACAAGAAGATCAGTAGTTATATATACGTGGATTCGTGCAAACAAACCATCTCAATCCCATCTCCATCAACTCCTTCACTTAACTGAACTCTCAGTTCCTCCTGTATTCTCGTTTAGGACGTTTCTCTGTAATTTTCCCCCGTACGTGTAACTTCTTTCCGGAGCTTCGCCTCACTCGTGCCTGTGTTTTTTCTGATTTCTTTCATTTTCCCATTGTTCAGAATCCGTGTGTCGGGCGGCCGCGTCACGATGGGAATGATCCGAATCGGTGCGACGAGGAAAAAACAGAGTCCGGTTTTGGTGGTTGGAATACTAGTGCTTGCTCTGTTTTTGGAGGCGGCAGATGCAGAGTACCGGCGTTACAGAGATCCAACGAAACCGATGGGGGGCCGGATCAGGGACTTGATGGGGCGGATGACATTGCAGGAAAAGATCGGCCAGATGGTTCAGATTGATCGCAAAGTCGCTTCAGCTGACGTCGTGAAAAACTACTTCATCGGTAAGACGACGATAAGAAAAAAACAGATCGAGCTGCTTCTGCTCTGTTTTTTTTAGGGCAAAAAAAAAAAAAAGACTGCAACTTTATTGGTTGGAGGGACATGCAGGAAGTATATTGAGCGGAGGAGGAAGCGTCCCGGGCCAGAAAGCTTCGCCGGAGGAATGGATCAAGATGGTCAACGAGTACCAAAGCGGCGCCATGTCGACCAGGCTAGGGATTCCGTTGATTTACGGGATCGACGCCGTTCATGGTCACAACAATGTGTACAATGCCACCATTTTCCCTCACAACATCGGCCTCGGAGCTACCAGGTGACTGAGTGATCAGTTTTCAATTTCATCACTCCGATCCCCCCTTCCTTTTATTATTTGTGGCGGCGCGTGATGAGCTGGATGATTGTTTTGGACAGAGAGCCAGCGCTGGTAAAGAAGATAGGAGCAGCGACGGCGCTGGAAATGAGAGCCACCGGAATTCCTTACGCTTTTGCGCCCTGTATCGCGGTGAGTTCATTATTAGGTTTAATTCAAGTCTATCCTGTGATGTTCCGTTAATAATATGCGTAAGAATCGGTCTTTGACAGAAAGAATAATGTGGAGTTACGTTACGTTACGTTTGCAGGTGTGCAGAGATCCGAGATGGGGGCGGTGCTACGAGAGCTACAGCGAGGATTCGGAGATAGTGAAAGCAATGACGGAGCTAATCCCAGGCCTGCAAGGAGATGTTCCTGCTGACGCCCGCAAGGGAGTCCCTTATGTTGCTGGAAAGTAAGTCTCCAATCCAATATATATATATATTATTAATTAATTTAATTTGCTCTCTTCTTTTTATTTAAAGGGTAGGAGCTAGGGGAAGCCCACCCCATGATTTAAATTGTGATCCCTACAACTAATATTGGTAGCGTTAATTAAGAGTAAATTACCCTAATTCATTATTTTGATTGATTGGTACTTCATTTTTGATCGGCTTGTTGGCTTATTTAGATTAGGTTTAAATTCAGTCGATTTGTTATGTTTACTGATAAAGCACCACCATAGTTGCCCACTTGCGATTGTCTCCTTCACCAAATGAATGATGTATATATGCGTGTACGTTTCTTTTTCTTGGGTTATTGGGTGCTTGCCTGCTTGGATTTTTTTTTTTTTTTTTATAACACAAATTGGGTGCATGATTTTTAAGTTGAAAGATCTGCGCGCACCATTTTTTTTATGTGGGCATTAGCTTCCTAAAAAAACCCCCTTTTTTTCTTTATCGACACCTGTGATTTCTAGTAGCTAACTTGAGTAACCTATTAGTTAATTAATTGCCTTTATACATGAGGACAAAAACCATACACAAATGTCATTTAAAAAAAACATACACAAACAACAAATATGTTCAAAAAAATCAAAAAAAGGGAGGCAGAAAGTAGTGGCTAACATTCTTGGAGGGGGTGAAATAATTGATTGATACTGATACAGGAGGAAAGTGGCAGCGTGCGCAAAGCACTTTGTGGGCGACGGCGGGACGGTGAAGGGGATCAACGAGAACAACACCATCATCGACTGGAACGGCCTGAGAAGGATCCACATGCCTGCCTATTTCGCCTCCATCGTCAAAGGTGTCTCCACCGTCATGGTCTCTTACTCCAGTTGGAACGGCGTCCGGATGCACGCCAACCGTAACCTCGTCACCTCCTACCTCAAGGACACTCTCAAGTTCAGGGTACTTGAGAAAATCATTCACGATTTGTAATCCATCCATCCATCGATGGATGAGTGTATATATATATATATATATATATATATGTTTTTGCATGGCAAATCTGATCGATCGATCGATGTTGGTGTTGTTTGTTGCTTTAATTTGGTTTCAGGGGTTTGTGATCTCTGACTGGCAAGGAATCGACAGGCTCACCGACCCGCCACACGCCAACTACACTTACTCCGTAGAAAAAGCAGTTGCTGCTGGACTTGACATGGTATATACCATGATAACTCCAATCTTCATCTGTTTCGACGTAGTAAACATGCGTGCATGCATGCATGCAGCTTATTTTGTCTGATGATAATAACAACTCATCATTAATGTGTTTGCAGGTGATGGTTCCACTAAACTACACGGAGTTCATCGATGACCTAACCCTACTGGTGAACAAAGGGGTGATACCGATGAGCCGGATCGACGACGCCGTACGGAGAATCCTGAGAGTTAAGTTCGTGTTGGGCCTGTTTGACAACCCAATGGCTGACGATAGCATGGTCAATGAGCTTGGCAAGCAAGTAAGTTACTCATCCTTGCCTTTCCTTTCTAAGTAGGTTCGAATTGGAGATTCATATCATAATACACGCACTAGCTACTTTTAAACAGGAGCATAGAGAACTGGCGAGAGAAGCAGTGAGGAAATCGCTTGTGCTGTTGAAGAACGGCAAAGACGGTACTAGTATCCTGCCACTCCCTAAGAAGGCTCCCAAGATACTGGTCGCAGGCTACCACGCTCACAATCTTGGCTACCAGTGTGGTGGATGGACCATCGAATGGGAAGGATTCAGTGGCAACGATAGAACCCCTGGTACGTAAACGCGATAATAGACGATATTGAATCTCTCCCAACAACTCGAATCGAATCGCTGGAATCAGCTGGTTCTTCTTGACATTACTAATTAAATGCATCCAACATTGAAGACTTGGTCATATTTTTTTTTTTAACGTACGTGCATGCATGGTTGTTACGTTACGTTGTTGCAGGAACGACAATCCTGACAGCCATAAAAGCCGCAGTGGTCGACCACCAAAGTCACGTACGAGGAAGCCCCAACAGCAGACTACGTGAAGGCCAACGACTTCTCCTACGCCATTGTGGTAGTGGGAGAGCATCCCTATGTGGAAACGGGAGGAGACAACCTCAACCTGACCATACCGGATCCCGGCCCAGCCACCATTCGGAATGTCTGCGGATCGGTGAAATGCGTCGTCGTTTTGATCTCCGGCCGTCCGCTGGTGATCGAGCCGTACGTTGACTCCATGGACGGCCTCGTGGCGGCTTGGCTCCCCGGCACCGAAGGTCGAGGCGTGACTGATGTGTTGTTTGGTGACTATGGCTTCACTGGGAAGCTTCCGAGGACGTGGTTTAGGAGAGTGGATCAGCTGCCTATGAATGTTGGGGATAAACATTATGACCCGCTCTTCCCCTTTGGATTTGGACTCACCACTGAACCGGTGAAGGGGAATTAAGAGTAGGGGATTTTTTTTTTTCCTTCTCATCATTGGCTAGTTCTTATTGTATTTATTTTATTTTTGTCAAAAATTTCTTATTGTATTGGAACAATTAGTATTGATCGAATTCTGCTCATCATATATCCTGGTAATTACCACTAGATCGATTCCATTTCTCTAAAACATCATTCATTAGCACAGACCACAGTACAGTGAAGTCGAAATAACTCTTCCAGGAAAACCAATGCAGTAATCTACGAAACTCCCAATTTATCGTGACTAACAATTAATCACGGTAAAATATGAGTTCTGAGAGTCGGAGATCTTTTGAGAGCAGGTGTGTGAGAGATTCCGAGAGGGTGAGCACCGGGGTTCCGAGGGGGATATGGTTTTCTTCTTCTGTTTGTAGGTCCCAGGTGTCGGAGCAAGGAGATGGTGGCGGCTCTTGAGAGAGGTGTCGGCGGGCTTCGCATTTGGGATCCAGGGTTGTTTGTTTGTGCAGAGGTTTGTTTGGAGATGCGGTCGGATACAGGCTTTCGGTGCAAGAATCGAACAAAAAATGGTCCATTGTGATGGACGAAGTTCAGCTAGCGTGGCTTCAAGGGGTGCTACAAACGGCGTCAATGAGGCAGTGGAGGTTTCCTACAGGGTGTGTGAAGAAGAGCGTTCTGCGCTCGATCCATATCGGGAAGAGGTTTGGGAAGAAGGGTGTGCAGTTGCAAATCTCTGAGCAGAGTCCGAGCGGGCGACTTTTCAAGGTCCTCATCCCAGCGGCAGGAAGATCGAAAGGCTGGCAGGTGTTATCGCCCTCGTCCAAGAGTTCTATCATGACGAGCATCAACTGCGTGTCGATATGTTTGAGACTTTGGGGTCAGCGACTGATCTGCCTGAGGCCCCGCTACATCCAAATCTTAATACTCTGCGAAAATCTTATGCAGATGTTGTCAGAGGTGGGGGCTTCTATGGAGTTGGTAGTTGCTCTATTGTACAGGATTCAAGTGGAATTTTTATTAGAGTGGGTCAGGAAGGAGTCTCGGAAAGGTCCGGTACGCTGGAGCGTTGCTTGGTTATCAGGTTTCAATCGGTTGGCCACGAAGTTTTCTCGAGGGACCAGTTGAGCGGTTTCAGGAGATGGGCAGAGAAGACTTGGGCCAGTGATTCTAATTTTGGTTTGGAGGAACTTGACGATGGTAGATGGCTGCTAATCTGCCCAAGCTTACGCGAACTAATGAGGATTAATAGTCTGGCTGGTCATCAGTTTAAGAACTTCCTTGTCTCAACTTATTTGTGGAAGGAGATAGACGAGGGGGCTCCACGGTTGGATGATGCTTGTTGGATGTTGGTCTTCGGAATCCCTCTGCACCTTAAGAGCGTCAATCTTATCAGAACTATTGGAGAGTTCTGTGGAAATTTGTTGGATATAGATTGGAATTCTTGGGCATCCTCTTGTGTTCGCATGAAGGTGATTGCAAAGGGATCTACATCATCTTCAATCCCCCTGGTTTATGAAGATCAATGGTTCACCGTGGATGTTAAAGTTTTGCCGGCGTCTCTGTCGGGAGGGAGGCGCGAGTCGGAGCAAGGGAAGAGAGGGGAGAAGTCGAAAGGTCATGAGGATTTTCGGGTTTCTCAAAGCACGGGTAGCTCCCAAAGCCAGTTTGTCTCGCGAGTTTCTATGAGGAATTTGAAGCGTCGTACTTTGAGGGCGGGTCGCCCATCTTTAGAGGGATCTTCGAGCATGCATGGGGGCGTACAGGGAGGCTCAAACACTATTAGGGTTGGAGATCTCTCAGGACGGGTTAAGAAGGTGTGGGTTAGGAAATTTGGGCCGCTACTCAGGCCCACCCCTCCAGAGTCGGTCGACAGGTTCGTCGAGCCTGCGTCTATTTCTGCTGGGCCGGGTTTAATTATCTATAGCAATGGGTCGCTTCTGGGCCCATGCCTGGTAGTTTGTCGATGGGCTTGTGCGATTCCCTGGTCCGTTTTTTCTGTCGGAGCTAAGATGTATGCGTCCGAGTAAACCGGTTCAGTCCCTTTTATCACTTTCTTTTTGCCCTGTGGTTTCAGGGAGGATCTTTTCGGCTTTATTTTCTAAGATGATGCAGCCGTTCTCAGGCATATCGGTGGTGTTTCACTGTCCTTCTCCAGGTGTTATTCAAATCTATTTTGAAGAGGATTCTTCCCCCTCTAGTCGTGTTGAGATGTTGGAGGGCAGTCAGGGGGCGGCAGAGGGTTCTCCTCCGGAGTCCCTGCGGAATGTTGCGGAGTCGCTCTCCCCTTTGCAATCGGACCGTGAGGTTGGGAGCCCCCTGATTTTGATTTCCCCTCCCCGTCTTGTGTTGCTGATAGTCAGCCTAGGTTTTGGAGTCAAGATGTTTTTCCCTTTGATCTGGGCACTTTGGAGTCCATAAGTGTTGATTTGGGGGTTATGTTTTCGTTGGATGGTGATGGAGGCCAAGATGAAGTTGAGCGGGTTATTAGAAGCCAGGCCAAGGACCTACCCCAGAGAAAGGTTCGTCCGTGCAGAACAAAGCTGGAAATGGAAAGACGTCGTCTCGGACCGACTGTGGCGGCTCCCCTAGGGCCTCGTCGGCGAGCGAGGAGGGATGATTGATGGGTTATTTTGCTTCTCATGGATATGTAAGTCTTAGTTTGGAATGTGAGGGGGCTTGGCGACAGGGACAAAAGAGCCAGAGTTAAGCGATTTGTTAGCGACAGGAGACCCAAAATTGTGGGATTGGTGGAAACAAAATGGAGTATCTGTGATGAGTCTTTGATCCGCAGTGTGGGCGGGGTCTCGGATGCAGGGTGGGCGACCAAAGATGCGGATGGCAGCTCTGGTGGGATTGTTGTCTTCTCGGATAAATTATTTGTCAATGCGCTCGCAAGCTCTGTGGGCAGGTTTTTTCTTCAGGTCAAGTTCCAAGAAATTGAGACGCATAAGACTTGGCATCTGGTTGTGGTGTATGGGCCGCAGGAGAGGGAGGAAAAACTTGACTTTATCAGTGATCTTCGTGCTCTCGGTCAGAGTTGTCAGGATCCTATATGCATTGTGGGTGATTTTAATTTGGTGCGATGTCACGATGATTATAGGGGTGCTAGACGTAACAATAACCTTATGGGTGAATTTAATGATGTGATTGATGAATGCGGCTTCTTGGAGCTCCCTCTTGGGGGGGGGTAATTTCATTTGGTGCAAAGGAGGAGATAGCAACTGCCTCT